TTATGGTATTCATCTCTCTATTCCTAATTAGTCTTGGGTGGCTGGTGGGTCAATTGCTGAAGAATTTTTGATGTTGGGCGGTCTTGATCATGCAAAGCCAGGAAGAAGCTATATAAACCCCGATAGCCATTATTTGGATGATTTGGAAATTAAAGAGAACAGTTTTTTTTTGGCATGTTTTCTCCTTTCAGTGATATTTTAGATCATTAGTTCCAGATTATGAGTATTTTGTTCAATAGTCATGCATTCGGTAGTAAAGTGCATTTAGATAAATGATTTCTTTTTTATATTTCTGTACATAGGCAGCACCTCCTTGGTGCCCTGTTTATAGATTCTCTTTTTCTCTAGAAGAAACACCATGTTCCTGGTATGTTTTTGTGAGTCATTATTATACACATCTTTTTGGTGAAGAGTAATGTTAGAACTACAATTATTATTATTAAAGAGTCAAAATATGATTACTTTTGACATAAACACATATATATTGAGGTTCTATTACTTTTAACGTATATTAATAGCTGCAATTATAGTTTTTGACAGAAATATTGTTCTACTACTCTTATATAGATCTGGATTTGTACCTCTTCTTTTCAAATTTCTTTTGGTTGTATTAAGTCGAAGAGGGTTATACTTATTTAAGATCTGACACTCTTTTCTGTCTTAGAAAATTCATATATGGTTGTGTTGCCACTGTATGGATCAATGGGAAGGATAGGAGGAACTTGAACCATCTAGCGTTTGCTTCTTTGCTTCACCATTTAGCATATCTGATATTTCCTTTCCCTCAGAGAGATACTCTGAATTTGCATTTCCATTCCATGAAAGTTATCTTTAAGATCTGCTGTGGTTTCCATTATTCAACTGTAGACCAGCCTCAATCAAGTATTTATCATTCTACACAACTTTGGAAACTCCAAAAAGTCGGGCCCAACTTTACTCCTGTGTGTATGAATCATTTGGCTTATGTGACCTTACCACTGTGCTTTTCTTTTTACTTTTCTCTTTAATTGTACACTGTTGTTCCCCTCTCCATCAATTAATTTAGTATGTATAATATATTTCACACCAAAAAAAAATCAACTGTATGCAACTTTAGAAATGATTCCAAGAAGTTTAACCCAACTTCGTTGCTGTATTTATGAGTCATTGGTTTGAATCTTGAGTAGTCGATTCTATCTAAAATCAGCAGAAACAATCTCACTTCACCACCTATGTATAGTATAGAATTTGAGGTCCTGAGTTCAAAATTTACTTTCATACAAAGTCCATACATAAATTTGTGACTTGTGCATTTGTTTGAGTTTATGTCCACATGTAAACTTAATATCCTTGAGTGAGACAGCCTGGTGTAGTATAATTTGATAAACTCTGGTTTTTTTTTTACCCCTTAAACATTTCAGATAATTAACCATCCTGCTCAATATTTTACAGTTATTAGGTTTTAGCTTTCCTTCCTATTTATCCTTGATTTCTTTGATTAATCGTAGTTGGCATCCCTCCAAATGTCCAAACACTGATCCAGGAATTGTCCGTTACTTGTTTTGCAGTGTTTGGTTAAGAAAGACAGGGAAGACCAGAATGATCCTACCATGGCTGAGTTCTTTAGTAAACTAGCCACAGCCTATCAAGATCCAGCTCTCTTGCCAGTTGATTATTCCAGAAGCATGGATAGGCAAAATTCTCCTCTTCTTCATGCTGTTGAAGTCTGAAACTGATCCTTCTGCTTGTGACATCCAAGTAATAGTATTAATAAATGCTTTGTTAAATTTGAATACCATCTTGTAAGCTAAGTTGTTAGTAAAGCGAAGAAACCCTAATGCTTATTCTGTGTTGTATCCGAGAAGATTTATCAACAATGGATTGTGTTGCTTGCATTGTTTCTTTTGTAAAGTAAATCATATGTGGATGCTAATGTATTGCATTTAACTACTATTATACTCTGTAATATTTTCTAAATTATTTTAAATTGTTAAAAGAAACACGTTTATAACAGTACAGCATTTAAGTTATTCAAATAAATAAATAAATTATTATTTAAGAAAAGTTATCATGATTCTCCTATATTATTAATACAAATATCTCATTAAATTGGAGTAATACAAAACAAATTTCTACATCCGTCAAGACCACCCAAAAAGGCTCTGCCGCCTCCAAAATTATGATTCAACCGGTCGACCCAGTTTTAAGCAAGCTCAGACACTCTCCACTGGAGGATGAAACTTGACAGAAGCAGTAAATGAATAAAATGGAGCGATGCAAATAACTCAGATGCCAAAGAAGAAAATAATAAATAACCTCATTAAGAATCAATAATGAGACTGAAAAGAAGAAAATAAGAATCTATTCTATTTTGTCTGTGCTTGCTTAAATTTCACTTCTATATGAGTTCCATATATCATCATCCTTATCATCATCAGTTTCTTCATACTTTAAATCAACATCAATATCTCCGTTATCTGCTTCCCCACCTTCAACTGGAACATCCTCCGGTTTAAATTTTGCTACTCCCTCCTGCAAACACAATAATATAACATGAATGAGCAAGAGTTACAAGACATTCAATGCGGAATGCTCTATTTTGCTCTGTACTAATCGCATGACCATAAAAGAGATCATCATTTCATGTTTGAATTACATGCTTTACAGTTAAGCCACTCCTAAGCATCCAGAGCAAACTGTTGTTACAGGTTTTGCTTAAACAATGGCACAGAGACATTCAATCCCTAAAAGTTACCATACTATGAGAAGTAACAAAGGTTTAAGCATGGAGTGACAGATAACGGGAAAGTCGGTGGAAAGAAAAAAGCATACAGTAGTAGTTTCAGGAGTCAAGTCTTCCTCATCATGCATTACACCAGCTGACTCATCTTCATTAGATTCCTCTTTAGCCTGGCCATCAACTTTTTTCAGCATCTCGATCACCCTTTCAAAATGAGAATGATCTACAGGAGAAGTTCTTATTATTACATCATTTGCAGTCAATACTTAGTGAAGCTTCTGATTATTAAAAAGCTTAAATTTGTCTCAAATAGAGAGAGAGAGAGAGAGAGAGCAGATTTTCACCTTTGGCACGATTTGCCAGTGCCTCAGAGAGTCTCAGTGGGTGTTGACGTTCTTCCTTCTTATATTTCAACTTGATTTGGTGACGTGACTTTTCAGGAAAAAGTTGTTGTATCATTGAAAGATCACTCCCAAACTGCTGAACAGCCTAAAACACATTAGGGAAATATTAGCTGAAAATATTTTAGAACTTGAGGAAGACTGGAAAA